ACAAGTGTCGTTTTAGGCTATTTTTAGGGCTTTTACGAAAAGCTCTATAACTTTTTAACGAAGTAAGTCCGAACGAAAAAATTTTGGGAATCTTCCTGTATATGTTGCCTCTACCTATGGTAAAATCTTCAGTCAAAAACTCAAACATCGATTGAGCAACTTTGGCTCTCTCACTCGTGCAGTGACTCTTAATAATTTAGACTTACTCGATAAATACAATTGGTACTACTGTTCTCCAGACTATACGAAATTTGGTGCCAGTAGTAAAAGTTGGTATAATTATAGTTTTTCTATATTCTGTCTTATTTTCAGAAAAGGAGCAACCGTTTAGAAAAGTGTGATGCCTCTGATAAACGTGGTATCACATTTAATGTGAGAAACTTGATAAACGCTGATCAAGACTTCAGTAAAGAGTATTTGGTAGATAAATTTGTACAAGATGTTGAAAATATATTACTTCAGTTAGGTGGGCTATTGCTGATGAGTTTCGTGAAGATATAAACATCGCGGCCTGAAAAAAGTGGCGCGTGTACAAAATGCTTTTTCTCGAAAACTATTTTTTTGCTACCAGGCTTCATTGTATCACGTTACGACCCCTTTAAATTTCATCCGGTCGAGTTAAAAATCTTAGCAGAGGTACTCAAGACACTATTACAGAGGTATTTTTTTGAAATTTAGTTTAGACTTAGGTAAGGTTTCTAAAATTGAAAAAAACTTGCTTTTTGAGACGTTTTTCAGTATTATTCCTATAACTCGACCAGGAAAGGTCTCAGAAAAGTTTCGCCAAAAATACCTCGGCGGAATGACCTTGAGTACCTATGATGAAATTTTTAACTCGATTGGATGAAATTTAAGAGGGGTCGTAATGTGACACAATGAAAAACTAGTGAACGGCAAGGGTCAAAAAATTGAAACAAAATCGAAAAAGTGCTCCATTGAGTTTCCAATCAGTTCTGAAAATACGAAGCTCTAGCGACTTTTAGTTTTTATTTTACAGCATTTCTACGGAAAGCCCAAAAAGAGGGCAATAGTACCCTTAAGAAAAAAAGCGAAATTAATATTATTTTCCCATGGAAATATTTGTTCGCCATTTTCTTCGAAACATTTTCCTAAACGTTGACAATACCCCTCTGCAAAAATAAGGAATCTTCTGGGTTATCGAGTATGCGGAACACGAAAAGCACTTTTCCGCAACTCTGCACGTACTGTATTTTTTTTCTTAACGTTGTTATGGAAAGTTAAAACCGCGAAATATGTAGGAGAGGAAAATTGTTGAAGGTGTAAGAGATGTACGTATAGAAGTTTATGATCTTATTAGTAGTGATCTTTTAGAATATACAATCTCTACTTCGAACAGTCATTGACTTCCTTGTGCTGAGAATGTTTTGCTTGAAAGTATCACGCGCAGATTGTTTAGCTGGCCTCTAATCTCAGATGTACTATGAAACAAATGCATCAGCTATTATTAACTATACTCTTTTCAACGTTCTATTTAAATAATGCATATATAAAAAATAATTACGTGTTTCTTGTTATTTCTGCTACTGAAGACATAAAATGAACATTTTTTACTTTAAGATGAATTGAAACAATTATTGCAATTTTATAGATCTATCTTTTATTTTTAATCATACCTAAGTTTAGACGATCTTCCTTCGATATTTTCACGATTGCCAGTAGAATTAAACTGGTGGCAGGTTGTGCTTTTGGGCCGGCATTAACCCATCCTAAACTGGAAACGAGAATATTTAATCTCTTTCCAATCCAAGTACGATCTTCACATAGACGAAAATGCAGTGTTCGACTGCCGGATTTATATATGGAGTCAAGAATATCCTGATGTCCATATGTTAACATAATAATGGCATGACGAACGTGCAGGTATGCACCGTGTTCTGTTGTTATTATCGGAATTTTATGTTCGTAAAGGCTCAAAAGTTCTTTTATCGTACGTATTGGTGGAGGTCTCGTATTGTACTCATTGCATAGCAGATGCAGTTTTTGATAAGCTCTATTCGAAATTGAAAACTGTAATTTAGCTAATAAAAACTTTGAATAATATCTGTTTCTGAATAACACTTGTTCTCTATCAAGCTTCTTTTGTTTCCGTTCAAAATCAAATTCTTCCGTAATATCGTATTTACTATCGGTTGACAGAGTACGCATTGAGGTTGTATTCGACGTCGAATATGAAAGCGTACTTGTAGGCGGTAATAATGACTGTATATCATGAACATTGTCGATCGAACGATGTATAGTTGTTGTTTTGGAACTTGTGTGTAATGGAATTATTGTATCGATATTATGTAAATCCTACACACAACAGAAATTAAATGACATAGTCTTGTGAAATATATCTTTTAGTTTATTAAATTTCATTGATGTATCATTCTGATTAAAACTAGATGTCGTTCCTTTTGCTACTGGTATAAAACGAAACAGTCTCGTTCTTAAGGGCCCCCCACCCCTCAAAAAAAGCATTTTTCGACAAAAAAATCGATTTGGGCATTTATGCATAGTTGTATAGCCCAATATATCTGCTTTCGAATGCACTATGATTTATTGGTTTTACGATGG